GCATCCTCCGAGGCTTTGCTCCCCGTCTCCCTGGTCTGCTGTCTGCTGGCTCTGTCAGCAGACCAGGGAGACAGGGAGCAGCTTTTCTCACCCTGGAGGAGGCGGGCAGCGGGACCAGGTGTCCCGCCGCTCCAGTCCTCCGGGGCGAGAAAATCCCCGTTCGAAACTGCGGATCCGACATAAGTCGGATCCGTGTAACTCGGGGACTGCCTGTATTTTTATGTATTAGTAACAAATGTATTGAGCTGTGCACAATATAAGCTTTAGGAGATGATACTGTTCAATTAATGTAAATGCCTTTCAGTCAGCAATAATCGTGATAATGCAGGGTTGTTTTTTTTAAAGTAATGTCATGTCACTTGTCCATTTCTTTATGAATGAATCAATGATTATCTTATAAAGTAGCTAGCGATGTTGGTAATTATCTCTCTACACAGGTAACTATTTACCACTGGGACCTTCCCCAGGCCCTACAGAACATTGGAGGGTGGGAGAATGAAACTATAGTCCAGAGATTTAAAGAATATGCAGAGTTACTTTTCCAAAGGCTGGGAGACAAGGTGAAATTTTGGATAACCCTCAATGAACCCTATATAATCGCAAATCTCGGCTATGGCTATGGCACATCTGCTCCAGGTATGGCTACTGTATTTAAACTGTGTTCTAAGGTGTGAATGAGATGCTCTGAGAAGCAAGTTCATGGTTACTCAGGAGACAAAGGATGATCTTCTGGTTAAGGCACTGGATTGGGATTGAAAAGGTCTGAGTTAAGTTCCTGGGTCTGCCACAGAATTTCATTGTGACCTTGGGCAAGTCACTTTTATGTCTCTCTGCTTCAGTCCCTTATCTGTAAAATGGGAATTTCCAAAGAATTTTTCATGGAACATTGCTTCCCCGCATATCAGGTTGGGAAATAACAATGTGAATTACTGATGGACAGTCAAATATGTGTGTAGGAAACACTTCAAGATTTTATAAAATTGGGATTTATAAAGTTTTACTTAATCAGGAGCATTGCAAGGAGAACATCTGTTGTTGTGAGTGGAGTACTACATAGGGTGACCAGGTAGCAAGTGAGAAAAATGGAGATAGGTCCTATTACCCCTCCACCCTAAGACAAAGACTTGAATATTGAGACTGTCCCTATAAAATTGGGACATCTGGTCACCCTCATACTAAAGTACTGAGGGCAATATAATTATCCAGAAAGACAGGGTCATACTGTATCCCCTGTGGAGGCACCTGCATGTGAGATCTGGAGCTTCTACAGTGCTCATGCTTCATATTCTTAAAATCATCTTCTCATGGGAGAGTAGGCATGCAACTTCCTCCCCCGTCGTGGATCTGCAGGAAGGGAAGAGTTCCTTTAATCCCATGGAAAGATACTTTATATGTTCTAGACCAGAGGCAGGCAAGACCGAGCCCCCGGGCCAGATCCAGCCTGCCAGTACTTTTGATCTGGTCCACAGTCTACCCTGCCAAGACCTCAAGGCTGCTCAAAATGGCTGGAGGCTCCCTCTGTGCACCAGATGCCCCGGTGAGAGGAAGGGAAGAGAGAATTTGTGTTGACTCACGCCCAAGCCAATCATTGCAGCACCCATTGGCTCAGGGTCCCTGTTGGGCTGCTGGATGTGAGCCACCTAAGATAAGGGCCTCCTGATCAGAGCCTGCCTCTGGCATCCCACCCTCTTCCGCTCCCCAGGTCACCACCCCCTTCTTCCTCAGGTCACAACTCCCTCCCAGAACCTACACCCCTCACCCAGGCCAGAATATCTCCTGCACCCATACTGTCTCCCCAACCCTGCACCCCAGTCCCCTGCCCCAAGTCACCCAAACCCTTTTCACCCTCCTCCTCAGGTCACAACTCCTCCCAGACCTTGCACCCCCTCTAACACTTCTCCCCCAGGTCAAAATCGACTCCTGCACCCCTACTCCCCCTTCCAAACCCTGCACCCCAATCCCCGTCTCAGGTCACAGCTCCCTCCTTCACCCAAACTCCCTCTCAGAACCCATGCCCCCTCCTGTACCTCAGTCCCCTACCCCGAACTTCCTTCTGCACCCAACATCCATCCCAGACCCCGCACCTTTTGATAAAAAAGTGTGGCCCTTGACCACATGCCAAAATCTTGGAATAGCCTCCTCCCCCCCATCAAAATTATTCCCCTCCTCCTCGGCCCTTCCTCCCCCCTTCTAGATCCCTCTGCTCTGCAGTATGGCCGCTGCGGAGCTAGAGGGGATGGCATTTTTTCATTACCTGGCAGTTCTAATGGCTCTTCCTGTGTTGCTCGGCTGGAAACGGCAGGGTTGCTTGTGGGAGTAGCCCTGTCTCACCTCATATTTCTCTCTTCAGGAATCTTTGCTAGACCAGGTAAAGCTCCTTACATAGTAGGGCACAACTTAATAAAGGCCCATGCTGAAGTCTGGCATCTTTACAATGAAACCTACCGGACCAAACAAGGAGGATTAATTTCCATTACCATTAATTCTGATTGGGCTGAACCAAGAAACCCCGACAAGCAGGAAGATATTGATGCTGCTAGGCGATATGTTCAGGTACACAAGAGATCTCACCAACCCATCCTTTACTCTTTCTTACTCCCAATTTCCTAATCCCACAGTTACCATGCCTACGTACTGTGATGCAGAGATGCCTTGACCTGGATTGCTGCCTTACCATTTTCTAGCAGATTGTTGCAGTAAACCAAGTCTAACATTGTGGCTCTTAAAATCTTTTTATGTACTGATTAGTTTTAATTGTGTATAGAACCTCCTTAAGATTTTGGTCTCCAAGGGATGCCCATCTTCTCTTTTATAATACCCTATAGCAGAGCAATTATACATTATATAGTCTGTAAGCAGCAAAGAGCCCAAATAGTAATACAGCACTTCAGCCTTGTTCTTACTGATAACATAAGGCACTTCCTTGCATCTCTGTTTTCTCATGCATTTTAAGTTGCTGGTAAATGGTATGGCACAAATTTTGCCAGTGGCTAATAGCATATGAGTTCATATTTTTGCACAGCTTTCAGTTGGAGATGCATTCTTTAATTCTCCACCCTCTCTCTCATTCCCTTGGCTTAGTTTTATGGTGGCTGGTTTGCTCATCCCATTTTCAAAAATGGTGATTACAACGAAGTGATGAAAACAAGGGTACGGGAGCGCAGCCTGGCCCAAGGGCTGAGCAAATCACGGTAAGTGCCTTGTATTTGCTCATGTCTTATTATCTTCCATCTTGCAAAATTTCTGTTCTGGTAAGGATGTTTGGGCTGGGAAATATTTCTGATTATTTTAAAGCGGGGTGAAGTAGTTGTGATAAATTTGCAGTGACCCTTGCACCTGAGGTAGTATGTTCCCATGGTTAAAACAGTGGTCTCACAGTAACTGATTGTTGGGTATGATTCTAAACTAGTGCCTGGTGTTTCCACTTAGATATTGTTTATCACTGGGAAATTTCCAAGGCAGGTGCAGTGCCAGTGAAACTCAGTAAGCAAACTACCTGTTGTATGTATTATGAAAGGATTGGAGGATAGAGAATTAGAATTCAGGGCTATGATGATAAACTATCTCTACCACCTTCCCTGTAAAATAAACATGTCTAGGAACATTCTGTAGTCTACTCAGTTCTGCAGTGATGGGCTCCCAGCAGTGCTTCCTGATATGTAACAACTCATATCTTCTCTACTGTATAGTCTGGCTGTTACCCAACAGTGGCTTAAAACCTTAATTCTGGCAATAACGTTTTCAGTTGTTTGCTGTGTGAGATGTCAAGAATGCTGCTAATAATCAGTAGCCTCCACACCTGGTCAGATTCTTGGGAATAAAAAGGCTTTAGAGAATTAACATGATACACTTTAGACTCAAGGTTAGGGTCTGGGAATGCTATGAGGTAGTTAACTGCTCCTATATGCTTTCAGACTGTGTATGTTCCATCCCACGATGCTTTCATCTTATTGGCCTGGAGCACCTTCAAGACCATGACTTGTTCATCTACCTTTAAGGAACACTCTCTGGCATGTTTATCATACCAGGCTTTCTGAGCATTCTGCAGATTTTGTTGAGCAAGTGCTAAAAAGTCTCTGATGGCGTTTTGCAGTTTGCCTATAAAGTCCAAAATGTTAGTTTCTGGAAAAAATAAATTTGTGGTCAATCCTTTAAACATTTCCCATTAAAGGAATTTTAATCTTTCTTGTTTTTCCCTTTTAATACAGACTGCCAGAATTTACTGAAAGCGAAAAGCAGAGAATTAAAGGCACATTTGACTTCTTTGGTTTCAATCATTATACCACAATACTGGCATACAACTTAAAGTATTCTTCTGCCATCTCATCCTATGATGCTGATAGGTAAGACACAAGCATTAAGTCATAGTCAAATAACACACACACACACTTGTGTGTCAATATGATCAATGTTGGACAATAAAAATTAACTTGACAAGGCCTTTAAGAGAACAACCATGACTTGGGCTAGTAAAATAGTCACTGGCTCACTCAGAAGTTTGGGTACTGTTCAGAATTCAGGGAATAAATGTGATACTTACTGCCTTTGCTCTATAGTCACAGGCTTATGACTATGCATTTTTAGCAAGCACAGTTAAGAACAGAACCACTAATGAAGGAAAATGTGTTAGTCTTAAAAATGGTTTGTTATTACACTGCCTTCTAGATGGCAGACGACCTGGTTTCTAGACACTTAAATGTGTGCTAATCATAATGGAATGTGTGTACCAACTACACTTTGAAGCTTTAAGAGTGAAACAACTTAAATATTTCACATATAAAAAGCTTATTTCAATATTAAAATAACTCATCAGGCCTAGTTTAATATTTAATAAATTAGCAAATACGGGTTCTTTTTATTAGAGGGAAATACTGGCAATTTTCCTCTCTTCAATGTATGGAGGGAATCTGTAGCTAATTCCCATAATTTGAGTGGGAGTTGGGTT